TTATTTAGAAGCCTTGAAATTCATTTCAAGAGAACAAGATCAATACCAGGCTGATCATAGCGTATTTGTTTTAGACTTGTCAAACAAGTCATCTCTATGATCTCTAGATATGCTACAGCAACACCACATAGATTCTGATATAAAAAGTAATTTACCTTAAAAATGTTTCCCAAGATTAACATTAGAAGTCACATAAAAGTAAATGAACAGAAGACAATAAATACTGTGTTCGTAAAAATATTGCTCTGACAAGGGCATGCTCAGGAAGGTAACTTTTGAGTTTATGTTTCAGTTCATGCTGCGTAGCACCACTTCTACGATAATGTAGCTTCTTTTCTAATGTACTGTATAGAATTCAGGTTTTCTTGGACAAAGAAAAGGATGAGAAAATATGAAGAACAGTACTAAAGACAAAGAGCTGACATTCTCAAGTTTTGTGCTGAAGTGACTCCTTTGAAACTCTAGTTGTGAATAAGCACCAATGTCTTTCAATTAAACAAAGGCAAAGTCCCCCTCCCCATCTTTTGGTCTATAAGCAAGACTAAAATACAGTATTAAAGATGCAAAGTTTTTCAGTATTTTGTCCATTAGTCTGTAGGCATACATAGCCACTCTTAAATGCAGTATTTTCAAAAGATTTCACAAAGGAATGGAGGACTAGAAGAAACCTACTACAGGAGCAAGTCTAGTTTCTTACCACAATAGGAGACAACATAATCTTTCATAAATTTATTCAGGTCCCTCTTAACATAGCTAGATATCTGTTACCCTTTATCTCCTGTTTAGAAAGCTTTCCAGAATTGGATTTGTTTTTCCCAGTTCCTAGTCGCAGTTTGTTCAGGTAGAGCTTTTACTCAGCTGTCTTATGCTAACATTTTTTAGCTTAAATATTTCTTGGTGTTTATCCCTTTTTCCTCTTTGTTACCACCAGTAAGGCATTTAGGTAGGACCCTTTCCATTCAGGAGAGAGGAGGCTACCTACAGCCTGTCTGTCAGGGTAGCTGAACAAGTGCAAGGTATGGGCAATCAGTGCTATATTATCCAATCAAAATTGCATTGATCATTAGTTGCCTAGGTAATAGCCCAAACACCCTTGGGTGACTGGGGATCATTTCAGGAAGGCAGCCTGTTCTTCCTACGTTTTGTGCTTTTTAATTTTTTAAAATTATTTATTTATTTAAGCATTTTGTGCTTTTTATTTATTTATATATGTGCAATGGGCACATTCCAATTCCCTCTAGCTATCTGCTTGAGCTAGCTGATTTTAAGTTTGCTACAGCTTATTCCCAGTAATCTAATTACAAAACCAGAGCAGTTCAAGAAGGACTTTTTATTCCATTCCGTACTTCACATACTGGTGGATGAAAGTAACACCTACATTGCCTCCCATTTTGTGTGTGTAATTTTTCCGTAATTGTTTATCAGAGTCAAAAATCCAGTGGTTCAGAGAGACATGTAAGCTGTCAGGATGAACATTTTGGACCTGCACCTTTTTTGCATTTCAAACAGTATGTAGTATTCAGTGACTTTTTCTTTATTTGTTTGTTTCCTTGTCTTTGGTGGAAGGAGATCTCCTGTATCTTCATGTTTTTGTTTTTCATGGATATATTGCTTTGGCACCCTGTGGTGATTCTGCAATCATCTGGTAAGCCAAACCCCTTTATTCTCCTTAGTTTTTTCTGGCTGATCTCCCAGTTTATACATGTATTTTTCCCTTGGATACACAACTTTGCAGTCTTCACTGTTGAATTTCTTCCCATTCTCATTAATCACATCAATGAATTGAATCAACGATAAAAGTCATATTTTTAAAGAATGAAACATAGTTTATTTTTGTGACAGTTTGTTCATTTTGCTAATTACAATACTCTTTTAGGTTTTATATGCAAATACAATTGCATGGGGTACCGACTGTCACAAATTACTTCAATTTCTCACTTTTTTTGGTTTTTCTTTTTTGGCTGGGGGAGGGAAGAAATAACAAGTTGAGTCCATGTTGCCTTGATACAAAGGTAGGATACTTTGCTACTGGGATAATTTTTCTTTGTTTTTCATGGCTTTGGAGTGGATCATCTCCCTGAACAGAAGCTGAGCCGAGTCGTCAGCTAGCAAAGTCAGTGTTAAGTCAGTGTTAGCCAAGGTGGTATTTAGCCTGCTTCAGTCATATTGGCTCCCTGGATGTTTCAGCATCGTTCTACAGAATCAGTGTCTGCTATCACCATAAAAATGTGGTAGCAGTTTCCAGACAAACTGAACTTACAAAGCTTGTTCTGTTGCGGTGAACGAATATGTGAAGAAATGCCGAGACCAATGTAATGCTAAGGATTAAAAACAAATGTAGCTGGTAGAGATAACAGCATAATAAAAGCACTCACCACAGTCATGCAGCTACTGAATTCTTGTTCAGAAATATCCCTGGAGGATTCTTCAGCAGGAGCACCTGGGTATGTTGGTCCTCCTACTCATTCCCATTTTTTCCCATTCTCTTTTCCGTTGGGTTGTGTTGTATCAAAGGGCTGCCTGATGGCCAGAGCTGGAAAGATGACCCAAATAAAAAAAAACTCCCCCCCCCCCCCCCCTCTTTAAAACACAAATTGCTTCTCTCCTGTGGTTTATGACACATGCCCACAAGTACTTGCACTGGCACAGCTGAAAAGGCAGGCGGGGGAAGAAGGGAGGACCTAAGGAAGCCTGACCTGGCAGTCCTGTACATTTTCACCACATTAGGGCTTTAGGTTTTGCTTGTTCTGTTGCCCTCGGTACTGTCTGTGGGGTTTTTGTTCCTGTCATCCTTGTTTTGAATTTTTATGTGGACTGGCTGGCTGAGATAGCCGATGCTTGAATTGCCGTCACTGGTGTGTTAGGGGCATTAGCTATCATTTCTGTTGGACTCTGACTATGCTGTGCCTTACGGGTTTGCTCTTCTACTGCCTAATCCCAGGGAAAGTGGGAGTTGGTTGAGAGAAGTTGCAAACCTAAATGGTGACTTTGGTTGAGGAAGAGAAAAACTTGAAGTTTTTCCCTTACTGAGCTTCTGTGCTTTCTGACTGAGGCAGTCATGGGCCAGAAGATTTTATGAATCCATAGGTCTGTCTGGATCCCTGACCACAGTAGTACAAGTGGTTCATAATTCATCCAATGTGTTTATCCTTCCAACACTTCTCTTTTTTAAGAAGTATTGTCGTCTTTTTTTTTTTTCTTCTCTCCCTCCCCCAAACTAAGATGCAGAGATTAAAGAATTTATCAACTGCACACACAAATCTGAGACTTAGCTGGCAACTGAATCTATAACTTTTAAGTCTCTGGCCGTCAGCCTTCTCTTCTCTTTGGACTGTTACTTGTAATGCTTGTAGTTGGAGACATTCCTTTCGCTTTGTCTCCAAGAGGGTAATTGCCCTTCGATGCAGTCGTCGATGAAATTATCATTCCTCTGTAGTCAGCTGATCAGATGGTACTTTTCTGAGGTTATTTTTAGAAATCACTGAATACACAATGAGGGAGTTTACTTCGTGTACTCCCATCCAGACAGGTGACTAATCTAACCTTTGAGATCGCACTGTATAGAGGTTTGTTATAGTGCATGCAATTCAAATTGCTGATGAGGGTGAATAGAGCTGTGTGTGACTTTTATGGGCTTTCTTAGTTTTTTTGTTTTTTTTTTTCCCTTCCTCTGTACTTCAGAATTCCATGTGAAAAGGCCTCTGCACTTCTGCTGCTAATATGTTTCAGATGTGAACTATAAAGATGCTGGAGGTAAAACTTCAATGAATATAGTAATACCATAACACTGTAACGTTAACGTTAAGGCAACGTCTAAATCTGTTGGTTTCCATGGAATGCTGCAAAGATTTTGCCCAGCTATTTATGGTCTGAACGGATTCAGTTTAAGAATACTCCCATAAATATGAGGGATAATATTTCCTTTTGCATTCAGTATGTTGAAATAAGTGCATAGGGTCCTCGGGACTGACTTTTCTGCATCATTTCTCTTACACAAATTATTAACAATAAACCAATGGTAGGTCAGATGTGTAGCTGCTGCAATTCACTGAAATCTTTTGAATGAAAACTGGAATTAATTTGGTGCTTTTTGTTTGCTTTTTTAGCATGTATCATGCTAAACAGCTCTTGGTGTAATATAATTTGTAGTGTTCAGTATTGTTCTTCAGTGGGGTCTAAAGACATTACTATCTCTGGAACTCATACTTGAATTTTCTTGCAGTTTCACAAAGGGTTTTTTTTTGTTTGTTTGTTTGTTTTAAATCATTTGTATAACTGTAATTCTGCTTCTCTGTTCCGGAACAATTGTACATTTTTGGGTCTGCCCATATTTCACTTCAGTAAGCAAAATGGTTGCCTGCTTCCACTTCTTTCTTTGAAAGAAATTGGTTATAAGTGCTTGAGTATGCTGGACAGGATTTAAACTTGAATTTTATGTTGTGTTGGTGAAAGCTTTGCCTAGTGATAAAATGTGTGAAGGATGTTTGAGAGATATGCAATTTATTTTGTTCAGCGCAGCAGTGAGAAAGTTCATATGGTTGGGAGTGCAATTAATTAACTAAATTATTCCGGAAAACTGAAATTAAATTCTAGTTTTAATATTCTGCCTGGGGAAGTGATATTGCTTGTTTCTTCAGCAGTGTCAGAACATATGATGGGTTGAAACTGTTTTAAGCTGCTTTAATAATTTAACATAGGAAGAAGATATTGTGTAAATAGTTTCATTTTAGATGGTGCTGGGTATACGCGATGCTGGTCACCGGCATAGGAGGGATGATGTATTTCTGTCCACAGGGGGACAGAATAGGTTGTATGGATGTGGGTGGGAGGAACTGACAAGTAATTTATTAATTACAGAAATAAAGTTAACTAACGTAATAGTGTTATAATTACAGAAGGTTTCCAGGGCACAGGTTTACAAGGGGACAATCCAGTATTTCACATTTAATTTTTCTCTTTTGTTTTAGGCTCTGGATGTTGACCGAACTGTTCTCTATAAAATGAAGAAATCTGTCAAAGCCATAAACATATCTGGTCTGGGTAAGTACATGGTAGTACATTCCTGGTAGTTTATATTTGTGAAATTGGAAGATTTAAACAGTCAGTTGTCTTACTGAATCAGAAAGAGTTATATGGGTAACTCTGAGAAGAGAAAAATGTACATTTTAAATAGCAGTCTTGAACTAGCTACTTGATCATGAGCTCAGTAAGGATGAAATTTTGTGAGGTAGCTGAACCTATCTAGCTGGCATACTGCTACCAAGTGGGGAAGCCGTGCTCTCCTCTTTCCACCAGGTCTGGGCTACCTGCTCCTTCTGCCACCCCTCGTGCTTGGCAGATCCCTAGACGAGATTTTTTAGCTCATATAAAGCTGCATATGCAGTGAAATCAGCTGGGATTAGATGACCACCTGAAGTGGTGAGGCATATGTATCATCGAAAGCTGAGGGCATGGGAGGGGTGAAATTACTGTCTTTGGCAGCAATAAGAAGCTACATAGGCTCTACTGCTTTGTGAAACCTCATCCTTCCTGATGGCTTCCAGTTATGTATGTTGAGAACTTCATGACAAGAGAGAGCTGATGAGCTGCAATTTTTTATTGTCATGAATGCCCCAAGTCAGATATTTCTCTTACAACGCTGATGAATATACAAAGAACTGTTGCTGCATGCATTTTCATATATGTGCCAATCTCATAGAGTTTTGTGTGTTTATCTTCTATGAAAAAATAACTGAAGCTTTTGTTTTTGTGGATCAGCAGCATTTTGTGAATAAGAAACAGCATTTGTTTTTGTGGATAAGAAACAGCATTTTGTTGGCTTTTGTTCTCGCTTTGCAGTTCATAGCAATTAGAGCTAACAAAACCTGTATTATATGCAAAATAGATAGGCCTGAAGACCTTGGAGAGCCACCAGTATCTGACAGAACTTGTGAGCATGTTGGTGTTCAGATAGAAGGTTATAACAAGAACTGCTGTTGTGGTATAATTCTTATCAGCTAATTGAAAGGAAGTTCCTTCTTGCCTAACATAATGAAGCTGTTACCTTTGGACCATGGAGGGTCCAGTTTAAGATTTGTCTGGAGCTGTCTCATCTGTTACATACTTATTTGGCACCCTTTCATCTGTTTTGTTTGTTTGTTTGTTTTAATTTTTAAGTGCTTGACTATGCCTCATAACCAGTGTACTTGTTAGAGCATTGTAGCAAATCACTACAGTTTTTGCATAAAATCAGTACCTTGCCTAGTTTTTAAATTCATGCTGCCCAATCTTGACAATAAAGGTTTGGAGGCATTTATCTTCCACCATCAGAAATATCACTAACTCAGCCACTTGCCAGCTCTTGGGGTTTCTTTTGACAAAACAAAAACTGTGGCCCTGCACTCGTAAGAACAGTTACTGGATTTTTAATATAGGTTCCCTGAGTATTAAGTATACATGTTTTGGCTTTCTTTTTAAATGTGTGAATTTAGAAACTGTTATGGAGGATTAGCTAGTGACTCCAATTTGTACATGATTTAGTTTCCTACTTAAAAAAAGCCTCTAAACCCTCAAACAAACCTAGCTAAGATTTCTTTTTTTTATGGATTCCAAACCTTTTGTTTGTAGAGAAACTTTTAAAATCCATCAGGAAGAAACCATAGGGCAGGGAGAGTATTTTGAAAGGTTCCATGAAAGAATATAATTTTATGTTCTTCAGAAGGACTTGTGGAGTACCAGCTCAGCTAATAGTATTGCTGCAATAACTACCATCAGCATTCTGAGGAATGTCTCAGAACTGCTGTTGAGCTGCTGGTTTGTTGGCTTTGTTTAATCTGATACATCATAGATCCAGAAGAACGGTCCCTAGGATGCTGCGGAATAGAAAACTCTTGGGGATGCTGTATGGAATAAAAAGCTCTTGTTTCTTAAGGTAAAAAGTCAGCATGGTTTAGCTGCTGATTGCACATCTAACTACAACAATCCATGGTAGCAGCCTTTTCACCTTGTTTTCATGCAGTGGCAGCCTTCTCTTTTTGCTGTATGAACTGTGCCCTGTCCTCCTCCCTCACCTGGGTTCAAATATGCTAATCTGGATGCAGGAAGCAGTAAGAATACAGAAAGCAATATGGAAATAATTCACCTTACGGGGTAGCTGTGTAAACTAGAGGAGTTGTGACCTGCCACATCCTATTTTTTGCTGTCTGTGCCAGTTCATTCAAAGCTTGTTCAGGTGTGTGTACGTCACACAGTAGTATTGGTTGAACATCCTTACTTCATCCTACAGCTCAAGTAGCAAAAAGTTTGGTAAGTGCTCAGCCCCTGCTGTTGATGCTGAGGAAAAATAAGTACAGTTCAATGCTAGGACTTAGTTTTTAAATTGAATGGCTATATGCAAACTATCTTTTACAGGCTGCAAATTCAAGCACTCAAGGTAGAAACTTGTAGAATTAATGCTGTTTGTGTAACTTCAATTCTGCATGTACATTATGACAGTCTTTAATTAGACGATATTATACCACTACTCCACAGGGGTTTAGTTTCATATATTGGAAATTAGAGAAAATTTGTAGCCACTTGAGAAATAAAGTTCTTGAACAGCTGTCCAAATAGTGATGTGGACAGGCTTGTTTTTAAGTTGGAGTATGCTAGGTTTATTGAACTAATTCATAGAAATTTGGAGAAAGGACATTGCATCAAGAATCCTTTGGATATTAAATATGTTGACAAATGGGCTTGAAATGAAACTGGATCATTGCTTGTTTGAACAGATTAATCCTCTCTAAATAATCTTCAGGGTTTATGCTGGTCTCGTGTAATGACCAAGAAAGGGTCTTTGTTCTTATTAATGCATCATTTGTTTTCTAGGGTGTGGGTTTTTTCCCTGACTTCCTTTGAAGTGTTAGAAATTGGCCACAGCTAGAGTAAGAAATAGGCAACATTAACTTTCTCAGGTGCCAACTTGGTGTGCTTTGTCCATGTGCTTAAGCTTGACATGGTCACTAAGCTTGGGTTCAGAAAGACTTTTTGTTTTATTCCACAGATCAAATTGACATTTTATGCCTGTCTAAACAAGCAAGTAATCTGGTGTCCTAGGAGTGAATCAGTAGGTCGAAGTAGTTAAGACTGAGGCCCCTCAGTTTTCCTTTATATTTGAATCAGGGGAACTTGCTTTAGGCCTAGATTTCCTCTCATTCCCTGGGCTGAATAACCCCCCAACACGTGCAGCTCAAACCTTTCTGAAAGGCAGAAGCGTTAGGTGTGTACTGGATGACTTGCATTGGTGCAGCCCACACAGTGATTCAGAACCTAGTGTCTGAATCAGAACCTAGTGCTTCTGGGGCAGAGCTTCTGGTTTTGTTGTCTCAGAAAGGAATCTAGTTGTCGTGAACCAAAAGTGCTTTGAGACCTGAACTGGCCTGTGGTAAATGCAGACTGCTAGGGTTTGCTTCAGATCTCCCCTGCTGCTCTGAATCAGAGAGCTAACATAGATATGGGGTTTGTCCTCATCTGTAATGTAGTTTATAGTCCCATTTCCTAAGATGACCTGAGAGTGTTATTTGATCTATTGCCTTCTATTGTAGAGATCCAGGACTCTGCCAACACAATTGATCTCCTGTTTCTTTGTTCAGCACACAGTTAAGCATAACAGCACAGAGTTAAAATTAGAGAATGTTAATAAAAGACTCTAAAAGTTCATTATAGGAGTTGGGAATTGTTATGCGGTCTCCGGTATGGTGGAGAAATATTGTGGGTCTTTCTAGAGTGGATACCTGTCAGATGATTGTCTTGTCTTGATGACACATTGTCCTTTGTACAGCATGTGGATAGATACACGTAAACCAGAATTAGTGAGATACGTCATCTTTCTGGCATATCAGCGTTAAAATATAAATAATAAATGTTTATTGTATCAAGTAAACATTTTTAGCAAGAAATCTTCTGAAAAGTTTTTTTTAAAAAAACTTCAATTGTGCTTTCAATAACTTTTTATCTACTGATGATATTTTCATGTTTTGCTCTTTTTGAAGCTCACGTGGAAAATGAAGAACAGTATACACAAGCACTGGAGAAATTCGGAGGCAACTGTGTTTGCAGGGATGACCCAGATTTGGGAACAGCATTTTTAAAATTTTCTGTGTTTACAAAGGAATTAACTGCACTCTTCAAAAATTTGGTAAGAATTACTTAAGAAAAACATGTTGAAATTTTAAGGCCATTACGAAGCCTGTATTTCTGAATTATAACAGCTCTTCATGTTGAAGACAATTTGTGTTTTAGCAACCACTGTTCTTAAAAAATTCTCAGCTTAGGAAAATGTCTCATGCCCTAGCCTTTCCCCTTGCAAAACTCAAAAAACCCCCAAACCCAAAAAACCAAACCAAAATAAAACCCCCCCCAAACCCAAAAACCAAACCACCACAAAAACCAAACAAACCCGACAAAAAATCCTCTTCCAACAATTCTCACGTCTAAAAGCTTCCCACAATAAAGTAGTTATAACATGTATTATAAAACGCACATACCAAATTGCTTTAAAATTGTAAAACCAGCAAAACCCAACTTGGTTTGCTCTGTGTTCATGTTACTTTTACTTTACTTTTTCACACTTTCCGTTTGTATTTATAAAGGGAGATTTGAGTGTCCCTGGAAGAGAGAGTCTTTTGCTTCTCAGGGAAGAGAGTCAGGAAAACAAAATCAAACATAACGCTATAATGACAATAGTGTCCACTGGGGACCAATCCTGCAACTGAAGCCAGTAAGGCTTAAAAGCACCCTTGTGAGCCAAAACGCTATAATGACAATAGTGTCCACTGGGGACCAATCCTGCAACTGAAGCCAGTAAGGCTTAAAAGCACCCTTCAGTGAGCCAAATGGGATGGAGCCAAATGGAAGAACAGAAGTTTTAACTATGAATGGAGAATTTTCAGCCTCAATTTCATGTTAATCAGAGGGCACAGAAAGAACAGATTCTGACTACATCCTACTAGCTAGAGCTTTCCCACGTCTGAGTAAGTCCCAAATTTACTTGAAACCACAGAACTCTTAAACCAGGGGCTAGGAAGGGAAGATGACCCAGATTCCTACAAGCATTTAAAAGTCTGTCCCTGCTGAAATCAGTGGGGTGGAGACATGTCAAATGCTTTTGTGAGTCTGCACCAAATGTCTGTAGTTTGCAGCCAGCTGGTCATAATCAATTCTTTGGGGAATGTTTCCAGCTGATGGGATTTAGGGCAGTCCCATTCACTCCCTGATGCTGTCCTCTCTTTTTACCCAATCGTGATATTGATGAGAGAGAATCTAGCCCCAGATGTATTTATCAACAGTGAAATGTATTTCATATTGGTCATACTGATTTGAATATCTCTGGATGTGCAAATACTATCTGAGAGTACATATCAGAAGAGGCTTCCTTATTGAGTGTGAGTCAGTTAGTTATCCTGAGTCTCCCATATAGAGGTAGACTGCTCATATGGGAGGGGAAATAGAATGGGTCTTCCAATTGATACCTTCTGTTGACCAAAAACCCCTCTCTATCATATATTAATTGCAATATGGTGACTTCATTAGGCAAATGGATCTAGGAAATGTGATCTTTAGGTGGTTTTAAAAAGCAATCTACTAAAAGCTGCACCCCCCTCCCCAGAAAAACCTTTTAACGTATTATATTTCAAGGAGACTTTTAAAAGTTAAAAAATGTTGCCGTTTTACCAAAAATCTTAGCTATTTGTTCTCTTAAAAACAGTAATTGCTATCTTTGCAAAATGTTTCTGACAAGAATAACTTTTCTTCCACAAACCGGAAAGGAAAATAGAAACAAAATAAATACTATAGGAAGTGGGATGAATGTTTTTATTACCTTTTCTTATCCATGTAAGCGTTTTGTGTGTCTTCAAGGAACATTTCTAAATCTTTTTGCTGTGTGCTGCTTTTCACTAGCAACTATGTATTTTTGCTTCAGTTTGTATGTATAAGAAGAGGATATGTCGTGAGATAGTAGCTAAGTCTTTAGTTTTTCTCAGTTTGTGATTCTGATTTTCTCTATTTTTGAAGCGAATAATTTTGCATGGATATGAATGTACTTTTTTTTTTTTTTTACATTGCAATAGCATAGGCACCTTCTCTCTTCTTTAATACTGTCTGGTGAAGGACAGGTCTCTGTAAGGTTCTGCTCTTTCCTAATATGCTTCATATTGTTGAGGTTTGAAGTTTTTTGTTTTCTCCTGACTAGCAAAGGAAAACTGAATAAAGAGAGGAACCTAATGGTCTTTGAATTTGGTGTCTCTTGAGGAAAATAGTTTCCTCCAGAAAGAAATACATATGAAAAAAAGATGTAAACTTCATTATTGCTTGAAAATACCGTATTTATAAACAAGAATTCTAGAATTATGAAACAAAATTATAGTTTTATGTAATTGCCTATTAGAAGTTAATACCACTAGAATAAATTGTTGGTAACTGGTCACTTTGAAAATCTGTACATAAGTTCACTGATGGAGGTCTAGTTTTCTAAGAGGGTATTGACTAGTGTAAAAAGTCCTATACAGTAGTTGGAAATAATTTGGGGTGATATTTTTTTATAGTCATAGCCATATGTGAAACAAGCCCCGTGTATTCTCACAGTGTGGTGAAGTAACCAACTCTGAACGCTTTAAGCATGTTGGCAGTAAAAACATTCCTCTCCTCTGGTGTTTCCTTGTGGCACCCAACATATTTTGGTTGTAAATAGTTTCATCAAAAATGTAGCCAGGGCCATACAACCTGCTGCTGTTAAAAAAACATTCTGAAAGGTACTCTTTTTAAATAGACCTGTCCCTGGAGTTTCATAGGGTGCTGAATTTCCACAGAAGATTTTAGCTGAAATGAGTGGGGAATCTGCAAGGAAGTGAGAGGACATGTTCAGACTGGAACAGATGCCAAAGCTATTAACACTGGCAAAACTTTAGGGCTACTGTCAAGTTTTGCTTCGTCATATATTTTGCTTTTGTTTCTAGGAGCTGATGTGTTCAGCTGTAGCTCTGAAGTGCTTCTGCAAAAAGACTTTCCTTAAACTTGTCTTTAGTAAGATAAAGGAAAGCCATTATGCAGTTGTTCTGCTTTAACAGGGGTTTTAGGTTCTTGTTTTCTCTAATATTTTTAAAGGTTTCCCAAAAGACTTGATGTTTTTCGTAGACTTATCAAGGCATCAATGTTTTAAAATATTTCATTAACAGCTGAAGTTTTTTTTCCTTGGAATCCAATTATTCAACTGTAAACTATTCAAGTTAAAGTTCAGGTCTTGGGTTTTTTATATGTGTTTTGCTATGCTTCTTTTATGTGTGCACTTTTAAATAGTGTGTAAAACTCAAAAAAACTTTGAAGAACTTTGTTCACATTTGAAGTGATTTATAAAACATCTTTAAGAGAAGAAATAAATTGACATTAACTGTATATCAGGTCCTCGTAACTACTCACTTTAGCCTTTCTAACACATTGTTTGCATTGTTTGGATCAGTTTATGATATACTGTGCAATTTTTTTTCTCTTGCCATAGCTCCAATATCAAGCTACAAATTTTTCTTCCAGCTTCTGGATTAGAAATGTTTTTAAGAAGACTGAGCAATCAGTATATCTTTTTTGGTAGTGAACTATCAGAAAATACTAGAGGCATTTTCAGAGGTAACACGATACCTTTTGTGGCATGTACAGTATTGCTTCTTGATGGTAACCTCGGTGCTAATTCCTGACAGAATGGTAGTACCCACAGTTCCCAGGTGGTTAGGTCTGTATGACACTTTCTTATTGTGTTAATTACTCTGTCTTCCTAATAAATTTAGTGCCAAGTGATAAAGGTGTGAGTCTTAATATGAAAAATGTTAGGACAAGGTCAGGCTCATTGCAATGTGTTTGCACTTTAAATATTTTTTCCTTTAAATCCTATTCTTAGATTGCTACACCAAGAAGAAGTAAAATCTGTAGTTGGCTGTCATCTTTGTCGGCACTCCTTGAAAAGGGGTTTGATCTGTGAAGATGAAGTAGCTATTTAACAAATTCCATTTTCTGTATTTGTTGTTCTTCTACATACACTTGTCCTTTCTTTTTCATTTACTTAAATTTAAAGCTAATGAAACATGCTGGATTGAGGGGCTGGAATCTGATATTTCAACTAAAATCTGTAGTTGGCTGTCATCTTTGTCGGCACTCCTTGAAAAGGGGTTTGATCTGTGAAGATGAAGTAGCTATTTAACAAATTCCATTTTCTGTATTTGTTGTTCTTCTACATACACTTGTCCTTTCTTTTTCATTTACTTAAATTTAAAGCTAATGAAACATGCTGGATTGAGGGGCTGGAATCTGATATTTCCTCTTTGTGGAAGGTAGCTGAGAGGAAGAGATTCCATGTGAGAAGTTTTTCTATTAATAATCCTTGGATTTTTAGCCAGGAGAAATGGAAGAACAGTGATAATATTTTTCTGACCATATGCTCCTGTTTTACTTCATTTTTTAAATGTAGGAAGAAAGGAGATTTGCTTAAATGTAAAAGGTAACAAATAACAAAACTGAAGGAAGTATTTTTTGTGTATTATATAATGAACTTAAGAAATTTATGCCCAGAATTTTCTTTCCAGGGTAACAGTTCAGACTAAGGTTTTTAAAAAAATGTTTGGTGCCAGAACCTTCACAAGCATATTTTGTTTAGAAGGACTCAGTTAAGTGCATAAAAAAAGCTACAGATATACATATTTGAGGTTGGAGTATTATATGTGAAACAAAGATTTAAGTTGTGGTGTTTCTGTTTTTCACTGGTGCACTTGAGGAAAGATTGGCTTAATGGTGAGAGGAAAAATATAAGAGTACTGTTTGATTTACGCTTGTAAGGATATAAACCGAGTTGTAATAATTCCTCCTTAGTGGCATGGGTTCAGCTCCACCTGGAATCTTATCTTTATTTCTTTGCCAACAAGATATTGATCCAACTGGAAGAAATTCAGAGGACAGTAACAAAAAATTATCAGGGCTTGAATAGGTTGATTTGTGAAGAAAGCTTAGAAGAATTGGAAATGTATGGTTTGCCTCACAGATAACTGTGATTGTGGAAGAGGAAAATAATAAATTGCATATAAATGGGATCTCACTGTGAAAATATCAGATGAAGTGTCCCAGAGAAAGCAATAGAAGCTTACCACTTAGGTGTTTTAACCTAGGTTAGAAAATGTGCAATTGAGAATTTTCCACTGGCAGGGAAGATGGTCTGGAATAACCTCAATTCTCTTTCTTCCTTTGCTTTTAAAATTCTTCACTTTATGCTTATAAGAATACCTTTAAAAATTTATTTCCTGTCATTTTGTGCTTGCACTTCCTAGTAGAGAAGTTCCCAGCCTGTAGTCTGTGTATCGGTGGTGGTACAGAGGCTGTTTCCAAGTTGTATACCTGGTGGCAACACTTGATACCTTGTGCGAAGGCATTTTTCTAGGCAGCTGAGCCAGCAGCTCCATGTGCACACTTAGTGGTGTTCAGCTCCTGCTTCGCTGGAGCCACTTTTCCTATGGCATACCTGGGTGGTGGGTGATGTCCCACCTCAGGCACCGGCATGGTGGGACGCAGTTTGTGCTATGGACACACCACTGCGCTGCAGGTAGGGCAGGGGGTGAGGACAGCGGAAAGGCAGTGTTGTGTCCTTGTGTGCGAGAGGGAGGCATGGTGCAAAGATGAAAGTTTGTGCTACAAGTCTTTGTTACATGATTTTGTGAAGTCTTGGGGTTAGATGTTAAAAGCTTGAAGTTCAGACAAACAAACTGCGTCTCATCTATAGTGGATGTTCTGATTTCCACTTGCTCCCTGCTGTGTTGATTTGCCTTGTCTTACTAAAGCTCATATCCCTGGGAAAACTCTTGGAAAGTATTAAATCCAATAGTACTTGCCATAAAAAAATGAAAATAACTTAAACAATGATTTGTCAGTAGGCAGTACTACTGTCACTTGTGCACCCCCGAGTTCATTGGTGGTTGAGAAGCCCACAGCCAAGTACATGGACTGCATCTAGAATTTAGTAATGGCAATAGGAGTCATATCATACACTGTTCGACTGCCTGAATTTTAGTTTAAGTAGAAGATGTTCTAAGGTCTGCTCTATTTATCTGCGTGTTAAGAAAAGTATTTAACTTCTGAAGTATTGAAAAGGCTTCCCCCCCCCGCCTTGGATTTAGAAAACAAAACCTACTGCAGGCACCAGTATCCAAAGCTATTCTGGAAAAGACTCATTAAAGTGATCAGGGGGGCTGGCAAATGAAGAACTTCAGTGTTTAGCCGTAGGCTCTTAAACTACTTGTAAATCTTCTTTCCCCTTCGCAAACGTTGGCTGACCTGTTGCCTCTGCCATCAGTTCTGGCAGCTACATGTTTGTTTATTTTTACGTTCTCCCTCCTGCCGTTTCTTCTTCTCCTCCTCTGAGCCTTCTCCAACTTAGGAAGTTTTAATTTATTACCCTGTCTCTGTCATCTTATCTTGTTGGAAGCTATCAGAGGAAAACTGTGAGTCTGCCAAGCAGCAGTGTTGGAAGTGGAAACCAGGTCAACTATTTTTTTTTTTCTTTCTTTTTTTCTAAAACAGATGGAACTTGCTAGTGTTCCTCTGACACAGGATGACTTTAATTTCTGTGAAGCTTTCCTGCACCTTTGTGCATGTTTCTTTTTAAAGACTATTTTAAAACATAAAATAGTCAAAATGTAGAGGCAGTTGTATACGTTTTAGCTCCCTGTGTACACACAGAGTAGGAGCTGCAGCATATTAATGCTTCTTTGCATGCCAAAAATGGGTCTATATTTTTAGATAGTTCAGCTTAAGCTTCTCAAGAAAGAGGGGAAAAACATGTAAGATCTTTCTTCTGTATATTGCTTGCTGATTTATAAATATGAGCAAGTATGATTCATCTAACTAGGTTAATAATGACAGGTTCATGCATTATGTATGTTTACATTTGTTGCAAATAAAATAGGAGCATAGGGAATACGATAGACTGATAATAATATACAGGTTATAGCACACAGAAGGAATTAATTTGAATAGGCAAATATTCTCCAAACTTTTAAAAAGAATGTTGGGTTTTTTCTCCTATTCTTTTTTTTAAAGTTGCTTTGGACTTCAGGCCCGATGACTTGAAATTCTAGGAAACATCCAGAACTGTTTTGGAGGTTGATTGATGTTTACATGAATATGTCTGGGATAATACTCCAGGGTCTGACATTTTTTCTTTTCTGACTTAAGGAAAAAACAGTTGTCTTGAGTCTGCTGTTGAGAAATGCTTTATTCTTGCTTTGCACCTATTTATCTGGATTTGAAGAATAATTAAATGGAGGCTATGAAGGTATTGATCTTTAGGTTAGACATTTGACTGCATCATACTAATAAAATAGAATAACAAGGTAGAAAACTTTGCATAAGATGATATCTTAGATGAGACCTCTTCTGCTTCTCCACCTGGGTAGCCATTTGGATGTGCGTGTCCATAGGTGTACCTGTCTTCTTCTAGAAGTTTTCATTTTTTTTTTACCTAAGTTTTGTGTGTTTTAAACCTTTTCACTTATCTCCTATATCACTATCTCCTATATACAACATATAATTTTATTAACTTTGAGCATGGTTGTGTTGATATGCAGATGTTGTCATACTGCTGAGAAGTTATGAGGTGGATGGTTTCCAGCACTGCCAGCTAAGCATGTGTAGATGTTGCTCATTCAATTTTTATAGGAATTATTTAAAAAAAAAAAAACACAGAGAGTTTAAAGGGCTGTGGTTGAGTCCTGCAGCTTTTTGGGGAGGAAGAAAAGTAGGGTGGAGGAGGGGAAATGTGATTCGTGGTAACAGTTTAAAAGACCAGATTTTCTATATTTCTTCAACCTTCCCATGCAGAGGCAGTCTCTTTAACCTTTAAAATTGATGTATGTTCACTTTCTCTTTGATTGCTGGCTGAAATTTCAAGCACATACAGTAAGGTAGTATCTTTGAAGAGGAAGGGTGGGGGTTTGGGGGCTTTGTTTGTTTGTTTTAATAGCAGCTGTTGAGTACCACTGGGGATGGGACATCTGAGTCTGTTCTAGTGAGGCCACCAAGTAACTATAGGGTGATAATATTTTGTATTTTTCCATTCTGGGGAGGCTGAAGCATCACAATTGGAAATATTTTTTTCTTGAAGTTCCTGTTAGTGTCCTTTCTTCTCTGGATCGGTTATGCTAAAAGGGACATTGGTGTTCCTGACATTGTTCCTGAAGAAACAGAAGCATTTGTTGCTACATGATGCAAAGTTCTTTCTGTACTTTGAACGTTTGAAATCCATCTTCATATATGCATTTCAGTGCTTCTTGAAAAAATCACTTTTTAAAAGAACAGCTAACAATAACATCAAAAAAAGAAACCCAACCAAAGGCAACCTTCACCAAACTGCTGCAAAAGTTATTCTGATTTTTTCCACTGTGTGGTTCTAAAATACTCTGGTTTTTACTCTTCAGTGCAATCCATTTGAATTGTTACAGTTTAAACTCTGTGCCTAGACATCATGGCCCATACCTTGAACATTTTCCCTGAATCATAAAGGATTGGACATGAAGTCTTTCTTTTCCTGGTGTATGCTACTTACTGTCTTATTCCTACTGTCTTTCTTCATTCTTTTTCCTTATCAAAATATTATCATACAGATACTTATCTAAAACCATGATTATTTTACTGTTGTCTTAATTTGAAATTATTTTTTTTCTTCTTGAGTTACTTGCATACTCAAGACCTTGTAAAATCCTTATTTCAAAGTTTGTGTGAGATAAAGAAGGCAGATGTATTACTTTTTAAAAATACTTGGAAAATATTTGAATGGGGCTTTTTTACAGGCCAGCATTCTTTGTCTTTATAACTGCTGTCAGAGTAAGATGCCAGGTATTGTGAGAATAGCAGATAGGTTTTATGGAATAGGTCTGAAGAGACTGGAAAATAAACAAGATTAATTTAAAATATACTGATGAACTTAAAACATAAGTACTGAAAAATTGTATGATTGTTTTCATATAATTTGAACAGTGAAATCTGGCAATGTAAAAGTTAGTGATCTTACTTTGCAGTCACTGTTGGATGAGATATTTATCATCAGCAGTAATTCTGCAGGTTTCCTGCTGGCTTGGCTTGTAGTGTTTCCAGAGTAAGTTTAATCAACTCATGTTGCCCCCATCTTTGATTACTGGCTGTACTGATAAACGTCTTCATAAAGCACGGTTAAGAAAATGATATATAAGATTTCCCTGTGAAACTTTCTGAAATATGTGAATTGAGACAGTGTATGTTCTGTGTTAAAATATATTAAATGTTTTGATGTAATTTTCTTGTTACAGATTCAGAATATGAACAACATAATCACTTTTCCATTGGACAGTTTGCTGAAGGGAGATCTGAAAGGAGTAAAAGGGGTATGTTTCTCTTCTTATTTATATATAAAATTATTGTTGGTACAATAAATACATTTAGCTAGTGTATTAATCTTACTTGATGGAAGGCATGGGATACTAAAGTAACATATTAGCTTAATAAACGAGATTTTTTTTTTTTTCCTTTTGGTCGATTGAGTCGTCCCTTCTGTTTGTGGTTTCACATACAGCATGCTCTTGACTATGTATACAAAACATTTGAGAAGCTTTAAAAGCAGCCCTGAGATATAGAGGTGTAAGAATTTAAATATTTACCTAGTTGAGTAGGGGGTAGTACTTTATTTAAAAGGATTATTATTTTATTTATTATTTAGGATTCTAAACTTACCTGGAACTATATGGATTATTAAGAAAGACACATTAGACTGCATGAGCCTAGGATTTTTCTTAACAAAGCTGAAATCTATTTGTGCCCTGAGGATATTTCCTATTTGAAATAACAACAACTTAGGACTCAAATGATGATATGTTTATAATAAATTTCAAAGCCTATAGCCAACACACTTATTTGGCTTATGCTTCATTTACTACTGAGCAAACAGGAAGCGACTGGCAGCTATTGTTCTAGGACATCGAAGGAAGAAGAAAAATGTACATAGACTAAAAATGGTCTCTGTAAATTACTGGAGGATAAAGAGTTTATTTAGTAAGATAGGCTTATTGTCTTTGTGTTGCTTGCTTACTACATTTCACTCCTCTTGTTCTTCTCTTTTCTATGTCAGAATAAATACATTTATTACAATACAGTGTTGCCCCATGTTCCTGACTTGAGAAAACAATCAAATGCTGCTTTAATTAATTTCATAACTGTTGAAATAACTAGCTGACATGTAAGAATTAGTTCGTAATCTGTAGTTGCAAAGTTTTTCCAGCGTCTGACAGTTAACAATATTTTGTTGTGGTTGGCTGATCTCTTGAACTCCAGCAGAATTTCAACTGCTGCATTTTTAGACATCAGTGAAATAATTTTACAACTTGTTAAGATCATTTTATCCAAATTGGCTTCTTCAGAGGGAAAAAAATAAAGGAATTTGGAACATAAGTAATTCAAAATTCTCACAGAATTAGTTATGTCGAGCCATATGGCCTATACTGTTCCCATTAAGTCAGTGGGAAATTGATTTCTTTAACTTTAGTGGGATGAATCAAGTCCTTAGCCAAGGCTGTACCACAGCCTCAGGACAGGTGCTTCTTTCCAGTGGAGCCAGAGATGAAATGGTGATAAAATAGCTGATTCGATTAATTGCATAGTGTGCTCTTGGGATGACGTGGTTATACCTTTTAAGGAGTAAAATGGAGCTGTAAAAAGCATCCTAGAGATGCTTTTAAAAACGAGTGTATTAATTCTGTGTACAAGATTGTTTTTCCTATGTGCAAGATTGCTTTTACACAATCCTTAGGTGAGCTATTCAAGAAAGAGTGGAGTCCATTATTCTAGTAGGCGCTGCAAGGTGTGTCTTCATTGTTAGATCCAAAGTATTTTTCATGTAAATAACTGTATTTTTTTCTTTTTTTCTTGACAGGACCTGAAAAAACCCTTTGATAAAGCTTGGAAGGACTATGAAACAAAAGTGTAATGTATCTTTTAAACTTTTATCTAAAAGGGAAGTATAACTGAAATCTATAAAGGTCATTATTTAATGTCAAGGTTCCAGCCAGAAGTCCTAGCTGGGAAGCTGAGGTTTTTTTTTTTTTCCCCCTCTTTTTTTTTCTTAAAACCTGGAGCAGTGTGAAAACACAAGTGCATAGACACAATCATTTCAAATTCTGTAAGATACAACTTATTTCATGAGTAAATTGTCTTTTGTGTGTGTGTGTGTTTGTGTGCCATGACAGTTAGTGTCTGTGGTAGACCTCTTTGCTTAATGAAGTTCCAAGTAATGAGCATAATCTCCCAATGCATGTTCCTCCACTGCATATTCTTCCACTTCAATTGAGAAAGTTTTGCTTTAATTGGGAAAGAATTTTTTAAAAAATTTTGATAGTATCTGTATTACTACCCTGTAATCTACTACGTGTGAAAGTCCGCTTCCTTTTCTGCCTTCCTCTACTTTTGGACAACACTACTATATAAAATGAGAAGTTAGCCACCCTGTGTTTTCATCCTTTACCTACCAAAAGTGCAGCAACATAATTGTACTTGATGTCCGTTTAAGCATTTGTTGGTGGTGGTTTTTTTCTTCCCCTCATCAGTGACTAACTCACTATAATTAGCAAGTTTCTTTAGTTGAAGAGCACAGAAGAAATTATATACTTTATGCCTTGAAATGTCTTAACAAAAAATACCAAGAGTATGCAAGTCAAGATTTAGTTCTGGATTTGTTAGCCTAAAACCCTTGTAATGACTCTGTAATGTCTCTGGCTCTAGCACATCTTAGGAGACTGTTCCCAATGCTGAGGTCTCTAGGAAGACCTTATTTGATGCTGAGCCTTTGGCACTTACCAATGAGGTGGTAAGGCTGGTGGGGGTGTTTGCTGCTACCATTCCAAAACTGCATATGATTCCAGATTGGTCCAGTACCAGGAACCTTAGTAAACCACATTTAATTAGTGCAGTTTGTTTAAAGATATGGATGTTTTCTGCATTTAATGCCAAGGTTGGATGCTTTCAGCAGGTGTATTGTGTACTAGAAGTGGATGAACACCTATCTGAGTCTTGTCAACTGTGTCTCATGTTGTGTGTCTAGCCCAACTTACCATAAGCCACTTGTTTGGAGGTACCTGATGCACAATATAAACAGTTATAAAATCAGTTTTAATAACAGAATTTTATATCCAGCTAAATGAATCAAATGAGTCAACAAAGCTCAGCAGCTAAGATCAAATATAATTAATTTTGGTACCTTGTAAATCTTCAAGTGGTTTAGTGCCCTACATCAGGAACAGTTGTCTCCTGGGTTGGCGAAGTTAATCATATCAGCACAGCTGATAGTCTCTGAAGTAGAATTTTGTAGTGGGTTTTATTCCTTATTCCAGTATTACCTGGATTCTGGCTGTCGGTTGAGTTTCATGTCACACATCCAGCATCTTTGATCTTCTGTGATAGTGCTGCATGTGTCAGACCATTTCTGATGATACAGGTCCAGAAGAATCACATATGATGACACTGTTTACCATAAATAGCTTGCAGATCCCCAGCCACCTCGATTGGCTGAGAATCTAGCACCCTTTTTTTATATTTTTTTAATTGCACAAAGTTATAATGATTCTCTGGTGCCTACTGAGTTGGCCCATCTGAAGTCGTGTGCAAACAGTCTTCAGAAATTATTCCTGTAGGTGGTTTACTCACAAAAGCAACAAGTTTAGCAAGTTAGCTAAATTTCATTATTCCTTTTGTGAATAACAGTGGGAACGGTCTAATTACTGCTTTCTAGGCTTGGTTTGTGAGGAGGACCTGAGTGGCTTTTGGGTTTTGAAACTGCCTAGCTATAGCTGGATTTGCATAACAAGAAATTCTGAAATATTGAGATAAACCTCCAGTCTGACAGTCTGAATCCTTCGAAGATTGTGATGGCTCCAGTGTTTCATGTTCTCAATACCAGTGAACAATCTCATTTGGTGCCGTGCCAGTTATCGGCTGTTGAAGTAATTAAGATTTCTAATCATTGCCCATGGCAGTAGTTGATCTCTGAGGATGAGCCATAGAGAACAGTCCTGTAATTTAGTCTGCTGTTGTCTACCAGTGCTTGATTGCTGGATCTGAAAGCTTGTTTACTTATGTATAACTTATTCATAGTGACATCCCACAAAGTTTATGTGCAGAATTTAAAATACATTTGCACACTGCTGGGACATATACCAAGAACACTGTTACTACTGGACCAAGATCTCTGATACTTCTAGAATTTTTGATAGAATATTCACCAGGATGAGTATGTTGCAGTAATGTAAAGATTTGTACTTTGATCCTCAGTTTGGTCAGAGCAGGTGGTCTGTTTCAGAGTCAGGTTATCCAGAAATATTTTCATTTGTTTTTTAACTTAGTTAAGTACTTGAGAAGTGAAAATGCCCATAGAAAATGTATTTGAATCTGTATATCTGGGGACTCTCATTTGAGTTTAAGGACAGTGGATACCTGGAAACGCTGTTGTGTGTGTTATTTCATTCAGGACCTGAAAATGTGATGTTGACATTGTGTTTATTTTCTGTCTGTGGGATTGAATCCAATGCTGCTTGTATGTGTCATGGTTTAACCTCAGTCGGCAACTGAGCACCACGCAGCCGTTCACTCACTCCCCTGCCCCTGGTGGGATGGGGGAGAGAATCGGAAGAGTAAAAGTGAGAAAACTCGTGGGTTGAGATAAAAATAGTTTAATAATTGAAATAAAATAAAATCCTAATA